TTGGGGCAGGGTGTGTCGGTTTTTTTGGGGGTTGGGGGGGGGGGTCAACAGTGGGAGGGCTTCTAGTGTCCTGGCCCCACTGCTGGACCTCCTGGTGGCACCTGGAATATTTCTGGCCACTGTGTGACAGAGTATTGGACTGGATGGGCCTTTGACCTGATCCAACATTTTTCTTCTCTTATGTTTGGTGTAGTGGTTAAGTGCGCGGACTCTAATCTGGGAGAACAGGGTTTGAGTCCCCACTCCTCCACTTGCACCTGCTGATGTGACCTTGGGTCAGTCACAAGCTCTGGCACAGCTGTCCTTGAAAAAGAGCAGTTTGTGTCAGAGTTCTCTCAGCCCCACCCACCTCACAGGGTGTCTGTTGTGGGGAGGGGAAGGGAAAGGAGTTTGTAAGCCGCTCTGAGACTCCAAGTGAAGGGTGGGGTATAAATCCAATCTCTTCTTCTCCTTCTTCTTATGTCTGGGGCCCTGATGCTCTCTATTCTTGGTGCTTGGGGGGGGCCACACTGGAAAGGCTTCTGGAGTTCTGGCCCCACTTGTGGGCCTCCTGATGGACACTGCGTGACACAGAGTGGTAGACTGGATGGGCCATTGGCCCAATCCAACATTGGCTTCTCTTATGTTCTTATGACCTTTGTAAAAATATATAAAGGTTTATTGAACAATTTAAAAAAGGAGTTTCTCTATGCAGAACAGTCTCTACTGCTTAGCAACAAGGAAATTTTAAAAAGCTAACTTTCCATTTAGTACATTTAATACCTGGTATTAGATAGTACACCTTCTTGTAGCATAAGAGTCCAAGCTATAGTCTAAAGCACACACACACACACACACACACACACACACACTTCTCCTTCTGTTCTCGCGATCGATCAGCGAGATCAGAGCGGCCGCACACTCACCTGAACCAGTCTGCGATCTCACCAGCGCATCTTTCCCTTGCATCAGTACGGGAATGGCCTGCCTCTGAACACTTCACAAAGTTTGTTTGGTGAAGGGAGAGAAGGGCAGAGAAAGCAAACTCAGTAGGAATCAAATTATTAAGCGCCTCCTGAGGAGGGGGCCAGTGGGCTTTCGTGCAGGGCAGGCATTTGGACATTTTTAAAGAAACCGATCATGAAACGTCTCAAAATGACGACCGGCACTGTAATAGAGGTCCCAGCAGTGGCCAGCTGCCACCTTCAAAGCACTCTATCGGTTCGAGCACCTGGCCTATCCTGCCCCGGACAGGAATACATTAGAAATTATGAAGAGGCCAATTTAAAAACACACATGGGCACAAAAATCCATCTGCAAAAGGAACAGGGTCAGGGGGATGTTTTAGAGTTTCCATATGGTCACACGAGCTGGATGACCCCTCATCGCCATCGCTGGTCCCCGTCTGCTGTGAGTTATCTGCCACCGTGCCCCACCACCCAAGGGGAGGGGGGGAACTACAGAGGCCTCAAGACTATTGGGAGGGGAGGAGGTTACGTCACCAGCAGAGGTCATTTCGGGGGGGGGGACGCGGGGTAACGCAGTTCCCCCAGGTGAGGTACGGGGGGCGGGGCACATGATGAAGCCCTGCTTCCGGCCACCCCGCTTCCGGCCCTCATTCAGCCAGGAGGAGGCA